TCAATCAGCCCGAGCCGAATGATTGCTGCCTTGGTGTTGCCGCCGTACCCGAGGCCGTCGCAAAAGCCCGCGCCGAGCGCCACCACGTTTTTCAGGGCGCCGCACAGCTCGACGCCGTGCGGGTCCAGGACAATATTGACATGGAATGTCGGCGCGTGGAAGAGTTGGCGAAGGATGTCGCCGTGATGAAGATGAAGCGTGCCCAATGTGGACTCGCAAAAGTCGCCGGCCGCGACTTCGTTGGCTACGTTCGCCCCCATGAGCACACTACAATCGATTCCAAGGCCGTCGCGGATGATGTCGGACACGAGGACAATCCCTCCGTTTTCGTTGAAATCGATGCCTTTGATGAGCGACACTGCAAACGCGCCGGGCTTCAGTATGGCGCGGACGTCAGGCAGCAGACGTGGCAAGAACTGATGTGGGAGGCAAAACACGAGAATGTCTGCACCACGAGCGGCTTCCTTGAGGTCAGCAATGGCCACGACATTCGAAGGGAGCTTGTGCCCAGGGAGATACTTGATGTTCTCGTGCTCTTGATTGATGATATCGGTCAATTTGCGGCCACGGACGAGCTCCTCGAACACCCACATGTTGATCTTGGGCTCAAACACGGAGTCGTTCAAGACGGTGTTCTCGCCGATGATCCGCGCGATCGCGCATGCCCAGTTGCCAGAGCCCACGAGGCAGACGCGGAGGGGCTGGTCCGACATGTTGTGATCATACTGGAACTTGTGCGCCACCATTGCGACGGGAGCGGATTGTTGATGAATCCAAGGTATTGTATCAATTTGAAGTGACTTCAATGAAATTCGTCACTTTTTCGCATTTTAGGAATGTAACTGTGTGTCAATCGCACCAAATATTTCAAAATGTCACTTTTGAAGGAATAAAACAAACCACCAAAAATGGCATCGCCACCACGTGCGCCGCGTTTGTTTTGCGATCTGTTGGCGTTTGAAAGAGAAGCACCATGGCGGTAGCCATGCCGGGCGAGACACATCCCACATCCTCGAGACAGACGATCCATGACATGGAATCGAGGAGATTGCCTCGATCGCTGTGCGAGTCTTCGCGATCGAGCGATGTGGAGCACATCCGATGGCTTGGCAAAAGTCCCCACCCACGGTGGGCCACAAGATATTGTTTTCCATGCCATTTATGCTAGTGCCAAGTCGTTGCAACCCCCTTAACGTACGACCCCATCAAACGTCGGACAGATGCATCGCCAGCATGCTCGAACCTGCCTAGACATTCTTGTTTCCCATCGCCGCGGTGGTTGAGTGTAGATGCTCTGATGTGCTGCTCTACGTACGCAGCGGCACGGTCGGCGAACTTGTTCGTGTCTGGGCAATGAGCACGTGGCCATGTCACTGCAGCGAACGCCGTCGGGATTTGCTGGAAACTTAATATTAATGGAATCGATCGACGCTTGCAAGTGCTTAGACGTCGACAAGCGATGACGCGTCGGCGCCTTCAAACGCTATGCGGTAGATGGCAACAAACAGGGGGAATTCCGGCAACGCGTTGGTCTTTTCGATGATGCGGTACACTTCCTTGGCTGTCCACGTGCCTTGAAGCTTCTGACCGTTCAGCACCGTCGCCTCCATCTCGTCCCACGTCACACCCTTGTCTTTCACAAACAGCTCGGCGCACTTGCGGTTCCGCCCCCCAAAGCACGTCGTGATCAAGTCCGCGACGCCGCAGCTCTCAAAGAACGTGTCTTCCTTGATGCCGTCGAAGAAGCGGTAGCAAAACTTCTTCATCTCAATCAGCCCGAGCCGAATGATTGCTGCCTTGGTGTTGCCGCCGTACCCGAGGCCGTCGCAAAAGCCCGCGCCGAGCGCCACCACGTTTTTCAGTGCACCGCACAGCTCGACGCCGTGTGGATCCAGGACAACGTTGACGCGGAAACGATGGGTATGGAACAGTTCTTGAAGAAACGCACCGTGTCGCAAGTCATTGCACCCTAGCGTGGATTCGCAAAAGTCGCCGGCCGCGATTTCGTTGGCCACGTTCGCCCCCATGAGGACGCTGCAGTCTACGTACGCACTTGTGTGACGAGGACGAGGTTGAATGCATTTGGTCGGGTACCAATGTTGAGGGCGTTTTGAATGATGCTCGACACTAACACCACGCCTGCATCGTCGAAATCAATCCCTTTGATCAATGAAACCCCAATGCAGTCGTGGACGAGGCCCTGTTCCTTGATTTGCGACAGCATGTTGCCGAGAAATTGGTGCGGTACGCAGAAAATGAGCACATCGGCGCCGGCGACGGCCTCTTTCAGGTCTGGCACAGCCACCACGTTTGTTGGCAACTTGTATCCCGGTAAGTACTTGACGTTTTCGTGGTCCGTGTTGATGATCTCGGACAGCTTACGGTCATTCACAATTTCTTCAAACACCCACATCTTCAGGAGTGGGTCGAACACATCCGGGCTCGCGGCCATGTTTGCCGCGATGATACGGGCAATCACGCAGCCCCAGTTGCCCGACCCGACCAGGCACACCTTCTTGGGCTGCCGGTTCGTGGTGAGCTGGCATTTGTGGGCAATGGCGCTGGAGGAGAATGATGACTGGCGATTCATGACCGACTGCTTGGCGCTGCTCATGGCGATGGGGTGGTTGGTACGGGGGATGGAGCGAAGTGGCGCAAACTCGTGTGTGGGTCACACCACAAGGCACAATGACTCGCACGGACCGCCACCGTTACGTAGATCGTGCGGCCCAATCGCATTCCAGAAAAATGTTCGTGGGGCAATTATTCGTCCAGAAACAAAACAAATAGTGTCAGATTTTCCTGTCTCGCTTCTAAGCATCGTTGACATTTTCGAGCGAAAGTTGGATCAAAACACAATGTCGTCGCCAACTTTTGCTTCGTTTCGTTCGCAATACGTTTCAAACATGCCGTTGACTAGATTATGTGCATTAGTAGTACTACACCGACTGGTCCGCGCGCGAATCGACCCGATTGGCTAAAATCAATTTTGTAGCATCTGATTGGTCTATCCTATCAAGTGACGAGGATCCCAGCGGCTTGAACTGCCCATGTCTGCAATGCTCAGCAGTTAAAAGTGTCTTTATTGGAATAATTAAATTTCGAACCGCCTGCTATCGGTAGCACGAAAGTGTGAAGGTGTGGGCGGTTTAAAAAGCGATGTCAAATCGCACTTAACCGGACACGTTCACTTGGAAGCTTGAGTCTTCACGGGGACTTGGAGCCGCGGTGAGACTGAAAATGTGGTCGAACAAGTCG